GCATAAGTGATAAAAGAAAAAAATGTTGTTTTCCATACAAAACTTTTCAAACCGATCGGGCCTATTGGGAAATTTGATCATGTGGAAAGCGGTTTCAAATCGAGCTTAGCACGAAGTAATTAACAAAACTAATTAAATAGTAGTTGATGTCATTTTTTGTTGTTGCATATATCCAAGTGATAATTCCAATCGATTTGATATTTGTTCTGCTTTGCACACGTCTTCACCGAAATGGTTACTGATTTCGTGTTAGTATATTGTAACTTGTAAGCACAAGACCGTTACGTCGGTAAGCGGGTAAGCGAAATTCGGTAACATTATTTTTTTTTTTTTTATTTCGATGAGGAGTAAAGAAACATTATCTTTAGATTGACACATTGAAAATACATGCACACATTCACACACACCAAATTTCTTTAGTGATAATTTTTGCATAAATTCGGGGTAAATTTTGTAGAGATGATCTTTATACAATCCGCTGATAGATAAGTTTGCAAGCATTGAATTGTCTATCGAAGGCTAGAAACACACTAAAACTGAATCTGTTAATCAGTTAGACTCAGTTTTCACTCTTTTCTACAAATTCTTCCAAATAAAACGCTAGCATTTCTTTAATGTGCGTTTTGCACTTTTCTTTATACTTTCGCCGAGAAGACACTGATTCTACAAATTTTAAGAAGCCATATTTAATCTTATCATTATTCACTCAGTGTATGCTAGCGTTATTTTTAATTGCAAGAATTGAAACAGTGATCGTTGTGGCAGAAAAAAATTATATCAGCTAAATTCTCTTAAATATCCTTATTTTTATTGATTATCAATTTTATGACTATATATATGGAATTTATACGCTTAAAACATTCAGTAAAGATTTCAGTGCTTTCTATAACTGAGATATTCATGGAAATCTCGAAAGGGTGTCAATGAGAAGGGTTATTGAAATTCCCCAAAATAAATTTAAAATATTTTATGAATAGAAATGTGCTTACTTATGGTAATGACTTCTTGCATTTGGTAATGTAGATGAAACAAGAACCGATGTATTTCACAGGTAAGTAATGTTTGTTAAACGAGTTATTTGAGTCTATGAACAGTAAACGAATTCAAATTGTGAATACATCAAAAAATCAGATATCCTGAAACATAAGCCAAAAATCATGACGACTCATCTTCTTTCAGGCAACCAAAGCATATTTAGAGAACGGTGCATATAAAATAAAATACTTTTCTTTTTTGTGCTGTTGTTACGTCCAGGTGCGTAACTTAATTTGTCATAGTTTGTCACGTCCAGGTGCGTAACTTAATTTGTCATAGTTTGAGTAATAGAACCTTTCTCATTTAGATTTTAAAATTTCCATAGATACAAGATTTGATTTTTGGCTCACCTCACGTCCCACTAAGTTAGACCATAAATTGATGTTACTGAAATTACTTATTGTAGGTTAAAATATTCATATATACAAATAAATAAAAAAAAAAGAAATTCAAAAATACAAAGGTCACTGTTACTACTAATTTCACACTAAGTGATCTTCTCAGACGACTCGGCAAAAAAAGAAAAAGAAAAAATACCATAGTAAATAAATATACCTAATCCACGGAGAAAAAAAAATGATGTGCTTGATTATAAAAATATTTTGAGAATGATCTTACTAGATATCTCGAAGGAATTTGACAAATGTATAGCACAAGAGATTGCTACACAAATTGCTTAGCTATGGAATTTGTGAAAGAGTTTCTCAGTTATCAAGTCTTTCTTGTCAGACAGATCTATAAAAGCCGTCGTTAATGGCCAGTCTTCTGATGCACATGAGATCAATGCTGGCGTCCCTCAAGGCTTTCGCGTTGGTCCTATCATGTGAACGATCTTCCCAAGAAAAACTCTCAGATCCTCAGTAAATGTATATGCAAATGATAGCAGAGTGTATGAATGCACCTCCAAATATTTTGGTGGCAATTTCCTGGCTGCTGATCTCTCCTCTGATGTATTTCACACAGCTTAATGGCTGATATCATTAAATGCATCGAAAACAAAACTCGTAACAGTTCATCACTGCCGAGCAGATCCTAAACAGGCACCAATGCTGATGAGTGGTAATACCATAAAAGGGGCTCCTTACCTCAAATGCCTACAGGATCACTCCGATCTCAAATTGAACGTGTATATTCACGCCATCGCAAAATATGACGGTAAAATGCCTAAATCCCCCTGGCAGTGTTTCCCTGACAACGACCATTTTGGTCACTTCAACCGATATCACGTCCTTATAATATGTATTTCTTAATTCCTCTTCCCCACTACCTTACAGAAATTATAATCAGTAACTCTCTACCTTAAGTAGTGCTTAAGAATTGTATCAGTAGAAAAAAATATGAATCGGCTATATTCGGGGAGTATGTAACTCTGAAAAATATAAAACGTATGCAAGTGTGGATATATATATATATAGTAAAACACACATATCGATCATTTGTAAATAAGTCATTTCTGTTTTCATGCGAAAAGTTATCTTCTTATGTCGATAAATTATGGTTGTATAGATATTTTATAATTACCTTACTATACCATTTGTTATGCTCATTTTTGGGAGGGCAATGGCGCCTTTTGCCACTCATATAGTTCTGAATTTTTGCCGATGGAGTACGAACTAAAAAGAAGTTACTAAGGTGTAAGAAATAATTCAATTTTCTGTTAGCAGCAGGTGTTAAGAATGGCGACTTGCAATCTCATTAAAATCGTTGCTTTATGCAAACGGCATATATGGAGAATAAAATCAATTGACGCAACCAATCTTCTCTGTCCGTGTTTGTTAAGTCGAAGAATAAAATAACTAACACAAAATTTAGAAGTCTTATTAGAATTTTTAAAACTCGTGGTCTCCATGTTTGTACCTCGAGCGAAAAAGGAATATCCATAAACGCAGAAAAACGTGTTAGATTTTTGTTCAATGTTTTAAATGATCAGTAAGTTAGATGCGTAAGACAAGGACGGGTCTACTTACAATACTTATGCGACTTTTACAAGGTGAGCAAGGTAATCCTGAGAGAACTTAAAGTCATTCATTATTGGTGAATACAACGTTGGAATAAATATGCAGATGATAGAGTGTTGATAGCAGACACAAAAATGAAACTGCAAATACTCCAAGTGAGGGTAGTAAAGGAAAGTTAGAAGAAAGGACTAAATATCAATTGTAAAATAACAGAATCTATGGTTGTCAGCAAGAGGAATATGTCGAGATGCGAACTACGAATTAGAGATGAGAAAATCAAGCAAGCACAGAAGTTTAAATATCTGTGAAGGGTTTTAACAGAAGACAGATAGGTGACACCGTAATTTGAACTCACAATAACGAAAGATGGCTTCCAAATGCTAAGGAACGTATTAAGAAACGGAAAAATTTATTAGAAACAAAGAGTTCTGAACTGTTATATTATATTGGTTTCATATATGGTAGTGAATATTGGACAATCTCCTCATGGATGAAGAGACTTGAGGTAACAGGGATATGCTTCTACAGAAGGATGTTGAAAATACTATTCATAACAAGGAAGTTTAAAGGAAAATGAAAATGAAAAGAACATTTAGAATCAAAGAGAGTTGAAATTTCTAGGACACATAACAAGAAAAGCGAACTCATACGGCATGATGAAAGCAAAACAGAAAAAAAAACAGCGCGTAACCTACCTCATGGATGGCAGAACAAGGATGGGGATGGAGAGTAAAATGACAAGCCTTAAAAAGGATAGGACGTTGTGGAGAGCCATAATCGTCCACACCCTAAAACGGTATGGCACATTGAAAAATAATTTTAAAAGTGTATTCGGTATTTTCGCTCACAGTAGAAGGTCAAAGAAAAGAAAAGAAAGAAATATGTAATAGCATTTAATTCTTTACAAATTAGACGTATTACGGCCAGCAATATTTTTGATATTTACCACCATTTGTGGAATTTCTTGAAAAATGATAAGTGACCTACAATCCTATTTACTTGGCTACTCTACTTTAACTCAATAGTCAGATACTCCTCTCTGACTATTAGCGAAATCTGAAAAAATACTTTCATTAATAAATTGATCATCAACATTTTTTCTCGTAAATATATATGACCGTCCTTTTTTTCTTTGATTTTGTTTTTAGTAAGTAGAAAATAGTTTTTGTTCATAATTATTAATCTATAAAGTTTTTCTAAAGACGCTCCGATATTAAATATGGGAATTAAAGAGAAGCAATGGCTATGCACGGCAATTTTGTAAGCGTCGAAAACTTCAATTTTTGAGTATATTGTCAATCGAGCCTCACTTTATTGACACTAATTTTGCGAATAGCAAAGTTAGTGTCTACTAAATAACATTCTTAGTGCTGCATCACGTGGATATCGTATATCTTGCGATACAGAATTGCATACAACTGTGTTTCCCCCTTTAACGAGTTTCGTGATTTAATTTCCTTGTTCTTGTTGTTGTTGTTGTTACTATTTGTTTGAGTACGTTAGCTACTACAACAGTTTAACATGTAATAAGTAACAATTTTCGACTGGCAATAATACAATTCATAATCTATTTACAGAGAAGAAATTTTCTGGATAAAATCTTGGAACACGCTTGACTCTCTCTCTCTCTCTCTCTCTCTCTCTCTCTCTCTCTCTCTCTCAACATGTGCATATATTTATATAATGTATATAGGTATTATTTTATTATTTATTTCATAAATCCGAAACCGAAAATTTAGACTTTAGGCAATCTGGTTGGATTTGAAACCAGTATTCTCTTTTCATGCGTTGACTCTCTGGAAAAAAAGGCTTTAGATACAATTACATACAACTGAGCAATCAATATATACCATCATTCATTTAGTAAATAATAGTGCATATCGTAATATTTTATAATATAGCTTAAAAATAAACGCACAAACCTTTATATCATACATCGCAACATACTGTTTATTACTGCCGTGTTTATATATACCGAACGGCAGTTAACATTAGAAACCATAAGCGTCAATATCGATGTGCAAAGAACAGAAAAAATCGAACGTGAAAGAGATAGATACACGATTCTGATAGGAAGAAATTGTCCACTATAGTGATGCTTAATTGCACAGGAGTATTAGGAAATAATTTTGAAATAAAAAGGTTCAGTACTCTTTACATTTTATTTACTAAGATATCTAGTGATGTTGTAAAATTTATTCATATAATCAAAGTATACAAAGACAAAAGGCATACTCAAAGTGCGAAACAAGCTGGTCGGATAGGTGTTGATCGGTAAATGTCGAGGTCAACTGATATAGATAAAAAAAAAAGCCAGGTCTTCTCTAGTCGAAGTTCCGACAACTACGGCGGCGATTTCTCACCAACAGTATCGTCAACAACAGAAGCAACAGCACCATAATCGATGTCGTAAGGATGTGACTCTGCGGTCGACAAGCGGAAGACGAAGTAAACTAATCTCCTAGAAATAGACGATAGAAATAGTGAAAGATGTCTTCTGAAAGCCAAACAAATTATTAAGGAACATGAAAATTTCGTTAGAAACAAAGAAAACAGATTTAGTCCTTTTATAAAGCAATGAATATTGGACAATTTCGTCACATAATAAGTGTCTTGCGGTAACTGAGATGTACTTCTACAGAAGGATACTGAGAATAGCATGGACCGAGTATATGAGCAATGCAGTCTTGAAGAAAATGGAAACGAAAAGGACACATGCTTAAAATAAGAAGAGACAGTTGAAGTTTTTGGGACATTGTGAAGAAAGAAGATTTGGAGAATTTAACATTCACTTGATATATTGAAGTCAATGGGTACAGAGGGAAACATCGTGTAACCTACCTAATGAGTGGATAGCAGAACAGAGACTGGAATGAATAGGAAGGAGATAAACATTGCTGAGAGATAAAAAGGATAAGAAGTTGTGGAGAACCATGATTGCTCACACCCTGAAAGGCGACGGCACATAAAAAGATACAGAAACAAATACAAACCCCAATTCCGTACTCATTAACTCCAGCTTTTCAGATTGACTTCATCAGCACTTTTCCATTCAGTGCCACACTACTCCACTAAAATATTACATTATTAGATTGGGATGGAAATTACAGGAAATTTTCTAATGCAACCATTAAGTACAACAAACAAAAATATACAATATTATGTATTTAAACCTTACTTAGAGTGAGATACTTCTAGATTTCGTTAGAACATATCGGAGAAGGAAAACGCCGATATAATACACCTGCTAATTTCGTTTACATCTGATGAAGACTAGTTCTTTTTTCAGGGAATGGGATTGGCTCTGTGCAGAGCCTTTTCTCACTTGTAAAATCTTCAAGCACTTGATTTTCTTTGTTTTGCATAGTATGGCTGACCGTAGTAGGAGAATGCAAACACTTTGAAGATTTACTATAATGTGAGAGTGTATATCCTTAGCACATCCAAGCTGCCCATATTTGATCAGTCATTGGAACACATTACTGGAAATCGAGTCGCACCTATCATTCAGTTCATGAACGTATGGACGCGTGGGTTCTAATCTCTCAATAGCCAATTTGTCAAGGTGACCCTCTTGATAATAACAACCTGGTGGGGCGATGCAGCACCGTTGGTAGAAGCCAGAAACCCTAAACCGTATGAGCGAAATTGGATAGACAAAAATCTCCGGAAGCCATGATGATGACAGAGGGCTCATTCGTACTGGCCTTGTTCAATTGCTACTCACGCCAATTTAGGCGCTCTCTCGTAGAAACTGCAACTAAAGTTCGCTTATAATCCATAAAGCTTTTATGATAAAATCTTAAGACTCTGTGAATGTTAAAGAAATATGTTACCGAGCAGGAGTTTGTAACAAGGATTAGCTAACCATCCTAGTAAACGAACAGCCAGCCATTAATTATTATCTATATAGGCATGTATATATCAGTGGCTATTCGAAGTCATCAATGTTACTTTGAGTAATTTTTTTAACAAAATTTATTTTACATACAATATATTCGATACAAGAATTTAAGCCTCTAATTGCACTCGAAACTATCTACAGCTGAAGATATCTAGCTGTGCGTAAAAGCACCTAGATTACACGACAACAGGTCATTGTAGGAAGAAAATATAATTCTTTTGAAAATGAAGCGACCAACAAAAGATTGGAGTTTGGATATTTCTTTTACTATTGTTAGACTGCTGTCTTATATTAACTTAAAAAGAATCCTATTGTTGCAAATGATTTGAAGTGGTTGATTTCTATATTCTGAATATGTTGACTGTCTTACATGGCCTCTAGTTTATTTACCAACAAAAGGGTGATTAGAGCTATAAATATTTAAGCTATTAGGAAACACATAGTTTCTTTCCTCTGATATTTTCAATGAATTTCTATCAGAAAATTACATGAACGTAAAACAGGGAAGCTGTAATGCACAAGAAATAGACACTGATGGTTCAGCTGTACAGTGATATAGAAGGAATGAGCATAAAACATATGCAAAAGATATGGAAAAGAAATAGCCACTAAGGGTTCAGCTGTACAGAGATACAGAAGGAATGTGCATAACACATATGCAAAAGAAATAGCCACTGATGGTTCAGCTGTACAGCGATATAGAACGAATAAGCGTGAGACATATGCAAAAGATATGCAAAAGTTATGAAAAAGAAATAGACACTGATGCTTCAGCTATACAGAGATATAGAAGGAATGAGCATAAGACATATGCAAAAGATATGCAAAAGAAATAGACACTGATGCTTCAGCTGTACAGCGATATAGAAGCAATGAGCATAAAACATATGCAAAAGATATGTAAAAGAAATAGACACTAGTGATTCAGATGTACAGAGATATAGAAGGAATAAGCATGAGACATATACAAAAGATATGCAAAAGTAATAGACACTGAAGGTTCATCTGTACAGAAATATAGAAGGAATGAGCATGAGACATATGCAAAAGATATGCAAAAGAAATAGCCATTGATGGTTCAGCTCTACAGAGATAGAAGGAATGAGCTTAACACATATGCAAAAGATATGCAAAAGAAATAGCCACTGATGGTTCAGCTGTACAGGGATATACAAGGAATGAGCGTAACACATATGCAAAAGATATGCAAATGAAATAGCCACTGATGGTTCAGCTGTACAGCGATATAGAAGGAATAAGCGTGAGACATAGGCATATGATATGCAAATAAAATAGTCACTGATGCTTCAGCTGTACCGACATAGAAGGAATGAGCGTAGCACATAGGCAAAGGTATGCAAAAGAAATAGCCACTGATGGTTCAGCTGTACTGAGATATAGAAAGAATGAGCATAAGACATGCAACAGAAATGCAAAAGAAATAGCCATTGATGGTTTAGCTGTACAGAGATATAGAAGGAATGATCATATGACATATGCAAAAGATATGCAAAAGAAATAGCCACTGATGCTTCAGCTGTACAGAGATATAGAAGCAATGAGCATAATACATATGCAAAATATATGGAAAAGAAATAGACACTGATGGTTCAGCTGTACAGAGATATAGAAAGAATGAGCATAAGACATATGCAAAAGATATGCAAAACAAATAGCCACTGACGCTTCAGCTGTACAGAGATATGAAAGGAATGAGCATGAGACATATGCGAAAGATATGCAAAAGAAATAGTCACTGATTTTTCAACTGAACAAAGATAGAAGGAATGAGCATAAGACCTATGCAAAATATATGCAATTGAAATAGCCACTGATGCTTCAGCTGTACAGAGATAGAGGGAATGAGCAGAAGACATAGGCAAACGATATGCAAAAGAAATAGCCATGGATAGTTCTGCCGTACAGAGATATAGAAGGAATAAGCATAAGACATATGCAAAAGATATGGAAAAGAAATAGACACTGGTGATTCAGATGTATAGAGATATAGAAGGAATAAGCATGAGACATATACAAAAGATATGCAAAAGTAATAGACACTGAAGGTTCAGCTGTACAGAAATATAGAAGGAATGAGCATAAGACATATGCAAAAGATATGGAAAAGAAATAGCCACTGATGTTTCAGATATAGAAGGAATGAGCATAACACATAGGCAAATATATGCAAAAGTAATAACAGTCAAAGACATCCTCATCGAAATGATGCATACACTCAAAATAGAAAATCATAATAGAAATACAAATACTTCAACGTTTGAAAGAATGTATTTGTGAACTTTTTAAGTACGACAGAAGGAAACCTGCATTGCACAAAATACGGAAGGACCTAATATATTAAAGTCTCCGGATATATCACAACTGGCCGATATGATAAGGAAGAAAGACGCGGTACTAGATGGGATTTGACTTAAGATGATCTCAGCCTTTGACGATAAATGAATGTGGTAACATACCAGAAAACTTTATTAAATCCATCTTTGTAGCGCTGCCTGAGAAGCTAGATGCAAATGGATCCATCGGACAATCAGTTTAATGAGCCACATAACAACGTTGATCATCAAGATTTTGATGAATAAAGAGCTTTGCATAATTAAACCGGAAATAGGACAAGAACAGTGTGGTTTCGTTAAAGATACTAGAACAGGAAATGCAATATTTATGACCAGGATGACATCAAAGCGAACAATATAAATTTAGAAAGATGTCTACCTATGTTTCATTGATTACACAAAAGCTTTTAATAATGCATGGCACAAAGATCTATTCGAAAATATTATTTATTTGGGAAATACATTAGGATGTCCAGAATATATTTTGCTTTCATACGGATAGAAAAAAGAATTAAGTACACAAAAAATGGAAGAGACGCAAGATAAGGATGCATTTTATCGTTATATTAATTGCAGTGATGCAATCCCCAAAGAACTAGAATCCCTATCATGATTTATTATTTGTGTACAAAATCTCAGCATAAGATACGCAGGTGATACTGTTTTGATGGCAGAAACAGAAAACTACACGAACACTTAGACTAGGTAATAAACGAAAGAAAGATATTACTATCAGTTGTAAAAAGACAGAATGTGTGATTGTCAACAAGAGAAACAGTTGAATTAGAGATTTCAAAATCATGTGAGTATAGAAACTAAAATATATAGGAGGTGTTTTGGAAATGTGACATGGAAATCGGAAGGTGCATTGGTATAGCAAATTACGCTTTCTAAAAGTTAAAAAAAAAAACAGAAAAATTTCACTAGAAACGAAGTAACGGTATGTAATATCAACCATATTATATCGCGGTGAATGCTGGACAACTTCCTGTTGCATGAAGACAAGACGATGTAACAGATATTCCACTACAGAAGAATGTTGAGAATACCATGGACGGAGCATATGAGCAATGAGGAAGATTTAAGAAAAATGGAAGGAAAACGGATACTTAGAATAAGATAGAAACCGTAGAAATTTCTGGTTAACATAATTGGGAAATAAGACTTGGAGGATATGACAGGACATATTGAAGACAAGAGATATATAAGGAAACAGTGATTAACACAGAATGAGAAAGAGAACTACTGCTAAGAACTACAAACGATAAGAAATTGTAGGAAGCCATTATAGCCCACATCCTCAAGTAATGAATTAAACATGAATTCCAAAGCATTGGTTTCACAGTAGATTCTTATAATATATTGTCTTGTTATTCTTATTTTTGTTCTCAATTAACAAGTATCTGTTTCTCGGTGAAACTTCAAACCAACTAATGCAACCATTCTTGAGTAATCTTAAGAATAGTCGCACTCTGCCAAAAGATAAGAAACTTCTTCCATTTACAAATGAAGTTAAATGGCTGGCCAAGAAAAGTTGTAGGAGTTTAACGGTTTCAGATATAGAAGACAAGAAACTCAGTTTCTGAATTCATCCTAAAATGCCATTACTTGATTTGCACTTTTAAAATTCATTATCTAAGCTTATTTGCTAAGGATTTGTAATCGAATACGTTTGGGTATTTGAGCTGCAAAACATTTATATATCGCATATGTAATTATGGGCAAAAACGGTATTCTTCTTCATATCAAGTAATTCCAAATATAATAATCCTTCAAAGTGTGCAAAACGCTTCTTCAGTGACAATAAAATGTTCTCAAATATTTCGGAAGATGTTGTTTTATTTACCGTTTCCGGTTCTTTTTGTGATCCATTTAATTGTCCAATTTCCGCCTCTATATCTTGAAAAAATGCTTTCATAATATTTGTCATTATAACAATTTTCATTTTATTTCATATTTGAAACTCTTAATAAATTTTTGTGCAGCTACGCACGAGTAGTCCAGACCAAGGTTGACAAGAAAAAGAAAAGAAAAAAATTGTATTCTGTGAATTCTGGAAGATTCCCAACCAAATCATGAACAGAGGTAAAGAGGCTGTGGCCACAATTATAAATTATGGCTCCGAGGTGATATCTTCCTCGACAAATAAGGCGGACCTCTTCCCCTCTATCTTTGCATTAGACGACAAAAACTAACACAATCTCAGTAATTACTTTACAGCACGAGAAGTCTCTAGACTTATCAAAAGATTATACCTGGAGGATCATAGCATTAGATATCTCAAAGTTCTTCGACAAGGTGTGGCACAAAGGTTTACAAGCTCTTCAATTATGGAATCTCCGGAAAGCTCTTCTCGATCATAAAATCCTTCCTAACGGGTGGTTCTCTGAATGTATTTATTAGTGGCCAGTCCTCCAGAGCCCTAGCGGTCAACACAGGGGTCACTCCTTTTGATCTACATAAATGTTCAGCCTAAGAATATACTCACATCATATGTAAACATCTATTGTATACGGGCGCACCTCTAAAACTTTCGATGATCAGAGACTAACGACTGATCTCTCTTCCTTGTCTTACACAAACTACCCAATGGGTTAAAAACTGGCTGGTGACATTCATTGCTGATCTGGCTGCGTATGATCAGAATGAATGGAGGTCCTCTTGAGGAAGCACCGTAACTTGAAATACTGTTGCGCATCAAATTACATTGGTTATATATCTGGCCATTATCACAATCAGTCTTTGACATTTGAGGAAAAATATTGATGTTTTATTTTAGTTTTTCAAATATTGTGTATTAAGTGCATATGATTACAGATCGTAACCGCTCGAAAAGTCATCGTTGTTTTTGTTATTATTATTATTTGAATATCACAATGTGTGGCATAAATACCTGCAAGTGTCCGATCTTTATTCTTCGACCATTAACTAATTCTATTCATTAATTAACATTAACTTATTATAAAAAAACGGGTAAGGGTTCTGTGTAATTTGAACTCGCATCTCTTGAGATATTTTGTGACAAATGAAACTCAGAAAGCTGCAATCGTTTCAATTTAGCTTTTCTAGTTATATTCTCTTCTCTGCTCTTTTCAACTCAATTATGTTTTGACTTTTCGAAGGGATTTTTGTTTACACTATATGTAATAGATTTGAATCGCATTGATAAAAATAAGTTCCCATTATTATGGAAGATGCAGAATCGATTTTAATCCAAATGGCGTAGAGAAAAGCATTATCTCATCCTCCCTGTTTTCAATCTTGTCCCTTGTTCATTTTGTTTTGTTAATGGCATTAAGAAAAAGGTTCATGATTCTTTTCATAATTATTTGTTCTTCTTATGTTATTACTTGGCTGCAATATCAATTTACGGTTATAGCAGATAGAAAGTTGATTTTACAGTTTATTGACGAGCATTTTATATATAATAGTGACTGTGATAGGATTTCCAGTAAAATTATTCATACTAATGATTTGCATTGATTTAAGACACGGAAATATTCATTATATTTAGAAAAGAAAACAATAATATCTAAATTTCATGCAGGAATCGAAACAAATGAAATTAAAATCAATATTTATTCTATTCCACTAACTTCAAATGTAGGATAAGTGGATTCCGACTTTTTCGCTGCTCAACGGTAATCTAAATCCTCCTACAACAATTTAATTATATTTTTATGGAAAAAAACTTGTAATTTCCAAATTTATAAACAAATAACCATCTGCAATAAAAGATGATATGATTTTGTATATCATTAATAGAACGATCACATTTATGTGGTTTTTGTCTTCTTGCTACAACGAAAACTTTGAAGAAAAATAAAATCACTGCAAATGATTGATCGAAGATGTTCAATACAACCTTTAATTTGAGTTCAGACTATTTCCTTGACAATACAAGACTATATTTTTTTAACTTACAAATTACTATTTTCTTGTGTTCTTTTATAGACCAAATATCGTAAGATATGTTTCCCGTTCGAAGTCATTAATATCAATGTGGATTTTCAAGCCTGGCAACTTATTCTAATTTAGATAGTGCAATGCAATCTTCCTATACCGCCTACTATTACCCTGAGCTTAGTAAATTTCAGGTACAAAATAGTTTCATTATTTTTTTTTTGTTACAATTTGCACATACAAACATACCTATTGTCTCTGAACATTATCTTTTAAGTGAATTAATCAAGATGCAGAAATCTTAGTAGACTACCAGAAGTGTACAGAAAACGTTATCGCATCAATTCTAATCTCCAGCGATCTACTTAGATAAGAACGAGAGAAATTAACATAATTTCAGTAGTTTTGGCATTTCTGTATTCTGTTATATAATATCGAACATCTGTGTCTTGAGAAGGTAAATCAGATAAGTTACATGAACTTCTTTTGATTTATTTATATACTTCCGTTCTGTTTCTGGATGTACGGGTACATTTCAGCAGCAAGACCCTCACCATTTGCCAAACCTACAGATAATCATTGATACTTAAATTTTAGCAGCTGCCACATTACCAACCTAA